GGGTTCAGGCAATTCTCCTGCCTCAGCCTCCTGAGTAGCTGGGATTACAGGCACGCACCACCATGCCCAGCTAATTTTTTGTATTTTTAGTAGAGACGGGGTTTCACCATGTTGGTCAGGATGGTCTCGATCTCTTGACCTCGTGATCCACCTGCCTCGGCCTCCCAAAGTGCTGAGATTACAGGCTTGAGCCATTGCGCCCGGCCTTCTGCACAGACTTCTATCACAAATGGATAGATCTGTGATACCGCAGGCATAGAAAAATGTTCATTGTAGAAGCGAGGTGGTAGCTACGTAGCTTTCACTGTGCAATTGGCAGCTGTTCTGTATACTTGAAAATTGTAATAAAATATCAGAGGGGAATCATAGAATAACAAAACATCAGTTTAAGCTCTGCCATGAGAGAGTCAATAATTGAAGCAGTCTGTCTTTATTTCCTTCAGTCCATTAATATTCGTAATTTATTTATAAGGTTTAAAAATATAGCTGAGTAGAATTTAAAGAAAAAAGTAAACAACAGTTTAAAAATAAAAGAATATATATATATAGCTGAGGGTTTGGGTACCTTTAAATGTTTTCTTCTTCACTTTCAGTTTTTCTTTAACATCAGCACTGATGACCAAGAAGGCCTTTACAGCCTTTATTTTCATAAATGTCTCAGAAATGAATTGCCGAGTGACAAGTTTTCATTCAGCCTTGATGTGAGTACTGTCTGGAGATTGTTCTACGTGGATTTTGTCAGCATAAAATGCAAGATTTACTTCTGTGTAAGGTTAGGTTTTAAGAACATTTCAGACCTGCCACTGGGCAGGATACATCCCTGCCACTGGGCGATACTTCAGCAGAGGAGTCATGAGAAAATGCAAAGCAATTTAGGATGTGTCTGCACTTGAACCTGTACATTAAGATGAATGTGGTGGTTTTGGCCGGGTGCGGGAGGCTGAGGCAGGAGAATCACTTGAACCTGGGAGGCGGAGGTTGCAGTGAGCCGAGATCGTGCCATAACACTCCAGCCTGGGGGAGAAGAGTAAAACTCCATCTTAAAAAAAAAAAAAAAGAATGTGGTGGCTTCAAGTGGGTGACTTGGGTTAAAAAACAAACAAACAGAAGGCCATTTGCAGTGACTCACTCCTGTAACCCCAGCACTTTGGGAGGCTGAGGTGGGCAGATCACCTGAATCCAAGAGTTTGAGACCAGCATGGGCAACATGGCAAAACCCCCTCTCTATAAAAAATATGAAAAATTAGCCAGGCATAGTGGTGTGCACCAGTAGTCCCAGCTACTCAGGAGGCTGAAGTGGGAGGATTTCTTGAGCCCAGGAGGCAGAGGTTGCAGTGAACCGAGATGCACCACTATACTCCAGCCTAGGCAAAAGGGTGAGACGCTGTCTTAAAAAAAAAAAAAAAAAAAGGAATGTGGTTGTTATTTGCTGGTATTCACTTTTTTCCCCCCAAGACTGAGTTTCACTCTTGTCCAGGCTGGAGTGCAGTGGCATGATCTCAGCTCACTGCAACCTCCGCTTCCCAGGTTGAAGCAATTCTGCCTCAGCCTCCCGAGTAGCTGGGATTACAGGTACCTGCCACAATGCCTGGCTAATTTTTTTTTGTATTTTTAGTAGAGACGGGGTTTCATCATGTTGGCCAGGCTGGTACGGAACGCCTGACCTCAGGTGATCCACCCGCTTTAGCCTCCCAAAGTGCTGGGATTACAGGCGTGAGCTACCACACCCAGCCGCTGGTACTCACTCTCTAAGCCTAAGTGAGATAGCTGAGATTCCAAATTGCTGAATAAAGGGTGATATGTTCCTGAAAAGTAAAAATGAATTTCATGCTCATTTCAGATTGACATCACAGAGAAGAATCCGGACAGCTACCTCTCAGCAGGAGAAATTCCTCTCCCCAAATTATACATCTCAATGGCCTTTTTTTTCTTTCTTTCGGGGACCATCTGGATTCATATCCTTCGAAAACGACGGTAAACTATTACTTCCTTGAGCCCTTCAACTTAAGAGTGAGTTGGGATTTGGATAATTTCAGCTTTTACGGGCTTCTGAACTTGGAGGCAGTTGGCACTAAGCAGTCTTGTTCCTTTCGAAGGGCGTCTTCCCGGAAACACTAGGAAGACTGTGCGGGAGCTTTATGGTGTGGGAGGCCTTTGCATGTCTTGGTGTCTGTTCACTTCCCGTTGTTTGTTTAAAAAGCACATCTAAATATTTTTAATAATATGCAAGCAAAATAGACTGTATAAGTGTTTCCATAGTGGAGATCCCACAGTCCAGGACTAGGAGTAAACACACAGGGACTGTTTATTCTGGAGAGGAAGTTAGTGATGATGACCGCCTGGCGAGAGCACTGAAGGCCTTGGCTCAAAGCTGTGCTGGGATAGATTCTCTGCATTGACTTCCAGATGCTTGTCACTGGACAAACCCTCTTCAAAGCCCATCTGCCTGGCTTTTAGTCTTTTTCTGAAACCCCTGAGGCTTTAACTTCCTGTACTTGATTCTTGAGGGGAGCAGCTGCATATGTGGGAATTCTTTCGCCCTCCAAGAAAATTGAAAACAAAATGTTAATATTCAGTTAGAGAATCTTGTAAACTATTGTAAGACCCATAAACTGAATAAGTGATGGTATGCAAATATGCTATTATAATATAGATTGATTTAAATTCATAAAATAATTAAGTACCCTGAAATACCTCTTTCACTGGAGCGTTGGGGCGGAAATGGAGACTTCTTTAATCCCTGCTAGCTTGATTGTGTTTTAATGGACATGCTCAGACTCTGGTATATTAGACTCTGGGTGGGTTCAGTTGCTGTTATCTATTTGTTGTGATATCCTGTATACCCACCAGATGGAAAGATTTTCTTGTTTACTTGGGAAGGACCTACATAATCAAATTTGGACTAGATTATCAAGCAGCAGTTACTAAGAAAGAATCCTATGGGCTGTGTGTGGTGGTTTACGCCTGTAATCCCAGTGCTTTCGGAAGCCAAGGCAGGAGGAGCACTTGAGTCCATGAGTTTGAGACCATCTTGGGCAATATAGCAAGACCCCATTTCCCTTTTTTACTTTTCTTTTTTTTTTTTTTTTTTTTTTTTTGAGATGGAGTCTCACTCTGTCAACTTGTGATAACAGATTTCAATCTGTGGTTAAAGGAGGCTGACCGATTGTGTACAAATCTCATCTTTAATTTTTGTTGGAGTATAGGGTGCATGGAGGAAAGTCTCTCACTTAAGCCCTGCCAGTATTTTCCCAGGAGTCTTAGAGTCAGTTTGGTAGGTTGGAAACCCACATGATAGAAAGGCATGTTACCAAGGCCACGAGGCACATTTCACAGGCCCCTGAAAGCTGGAGGCAATGGAGAGACCTTTGCCTCATTTATAGAGACCCAGAGAGGGGAAACGAGAGCCACTGTCAACCGACAGAGCTAGGACTGGAACCCGGGTCTGCTTGCTGGTATGTATCAGGCCCCTCCCAGCTTCCAGTGTAGGTAGAACTAGTATTTGCGCCAAGGTCAGTGAGGCTTGTTCTTTCCATCACGTCTCTGCCCCAGCGTCGCTGTTCTAACCTTGACTGCAAGTCAAGGTCACCAGAGTGTGTGAATGAGCACAGCTGTTTGCGGTGGGTGGTTTTATACTCTGGGTAAATCTCATTGCCATTCAGTAGTTACAGACGATTCTGGCCTTGACTTCCTTTTTGACCTTCAAGGAGGTGAGCACTGGAATAGGAAAGTACCGGGGAGGAAATGAGCCCGGAAACTGACATCACATTTTGGCATACTCTCATTATCACCCGGTGCCAGGCCCTCTCTATTGGTCCCTTTCATTTCCTGTCCCCTCTCCCACTCCTTCCCAGCCATGGAGAACTGCTCAAATGTGTTTCATATGCATTTTTAGATATTTCTTTTTTTTTTTTTTTTTTTTTTGAGACAGAGTCTCTGTCACCCAGGCTGGAGTGCAGTGGTACAATCTCGGCTCACTGCAACCTCCGCCTCCCGGGTTCAAACAGTTCTCCTGCCTCAGTCTCCCGAGTAGCTGGGATTATGGGCATGCGCCACCATACCCAGCTAATTTTTGTATTTTTAGTAGAGACGGGGTTTCACCGTGTGGCCCAGGATGGTCTCGAACTCCTGACCTCAGGTGATCTGCCCACCTCGGCCTCCCAAAGTGCCACGCACCCAGCCTCATTTTTGGATATTTCTATATTCTTATAAATAAGTACTGTTTATTGGTGTTGCATGTATTTTAAATTTACATAAAATATTGTTGTACATTTTTCACTCAGTAATATGTAGACATTGTTCTTGTACATTTTTCACTCAGTAATATCCTTTCTATGATCTAGCCATGTGGCTGAGTGTGCGTCTCATTGATTTTTACCTACTCCACAGCATCCCGTGCTCTGTGTCCTCACATTTGACTGCTTTGGTCCTTCAGTGATGGACACAGCCTGGGCCGCGTACATCTCCCTGATACCCCAGCCAATGCTGGCATGAACCTCCTAAGGCCCCGTATGGATCTGTACAGCCTCCGAGCTGCAGTTCCGGAAGGAAGCACACTGTGCCATGTGTAGTTAATTTCTTTTCTTTTTTGAGACAGGGTCTCTGTCACCTAAGCTTGAGTGCAGTGGCACCATACCCAGCTAATTTTTGTACTTTAGTAGAGACGGGGTTTAACCATGTTGGCTAGGCTGGTCTTGAACTCCTGGCCTCAAGTGATCCTCCTGCCTTGGCCTCCCAAAGTGCTGGGATTATAGGCGTAAGCCACAACACCTGGCCATCGCTTAATTTCATTAAGGGCCAGATTGCCTTCCAGCCTGGCATAGAGGTTTATACGTCTACCAGTGGTGCATACCTAAGGTTTGCTGTTTCTCCACATTCTCACCAATACTGATGTCTTAATTTTTGCTAGTGTGATGGTTGTAAACTGGTAGCCTCTTTTATTTTGCATTTCTCTGAATATTAGTGATGTGGATTATCATTTTAGGGACTCGTTAACCATATCAGTTTCCCTTCTTGTGGCTGCCTGTATTCTTTGCTTTTTTTTGAGACAGGGTCTCACTGTGTTGCCCAGGCTGGAGCGGTGGCGTGATCAAGGCTTACTGCAGCCTCAAACTCCTGAGCTCAAGTGATTCTCCCACCTCAGCCTCCCGAATAGCTGAAACTATAGGCACACACTACCACTCTTGGCTACGCTTTTGTTTTGAGACTGTTTGTTTGTTTCGAGAAAAGGGCTCGCTGTGTCTCCCAGGCTGTAGTACAGTCACACAGTCACGGCTCACTGCAGTCCCTGCCTCCTGGGCTCGAGTGATTATCCCACCTCAGCCTCCCAAGTAGTTGGAACTACAGGTGCGCACCACCATACCCAGCTAACTTTCTGTATTTTTGGTAGAGACAGTTTCGCCATCTTGTCCAAGCTGATCTCAAACTCTTGGGCTCAAGTAATCCTCCCAACTCAGCCTCCCTAAGTGCTGGGATTACAGGCGTGAGCCACTGCACCCAGCCTCATAATAGACTTATATGTTCTATTAGGTTAATTCTTAAGGAGAGGCAGGAAAGAGTAGAGGCATTTAATGCCCATCAGCCCAAAGGTGGACTAGTATCTGTGATGGGGTGGGCAGGGGAATGGGTGCTTTATCTCACTGGCGTGGGGTATTTGCAGATACCAGCCATGAAGGAGAGAGAAAGGATCATGACCCCAGCACTTTCCCTTCACACATCCCTGCTGCTGGCTCCCAGCCCCCCTACTCTGGGCTGCAGGCTTCCCCTACAGCTGTTTGTAATCACTTTCGGCTTTCCTGGGTGTTCTGTGCTGTTTTCTAAGGTCCATCTACCTCATTCTTGCCTCTGGCTTTCCCAGGGTGGTTTCTGGGAGCAAGCTGGCAGGCTGTGTTAGATTTCCATTTACTCAAGAGTTGGAAACCGTCATGTGTGGCTTCAGTGCATAACTCTTAAGCTCATTCACAACATTAAATTGTTATAGAGATTACTTTAGGACTCTATTCAAGACCTTTTTGACCAGGAAAAAGTACTTTGTTAAAAAAGCGGCCGGCGCGTGGTGGCTCACACCTGTAATTCTAGCACTTTAGGAGGCTGAGGCAGGTGGATTACTTGAGGTCAGACGTTCAAGACCAGCCTGGCCAACATGGTGAAACCTCGTCTCTACTAAACATACAAAAATTAGCTGGAGATTGTGGCACACGCCTGTAATCCCAGATACTCAGGAGGCTGAGGCAAGGGCATCTCTTGATCCCAGGAGGTGGAGTTTTCACTGAGCCAAGTTTGTGCCACTGTACTTCAGCCTGGGTGACGGAGCAAGACTCCATCTCAAAAAAAAAAAAAACAAGTTTTATCTGGGCGTAGTGGCTCATGCCTCTAGTATCAACACTGGGAGGCCAAGGTGGGTGAATTGCTTGAAGCCAGGAGTTCAAAACCAGTCTGGGCAACTTAGCAAAACTCTTTCTGTATAAAAAATACAAAATAAAATTAGTTGGGCATGGCAGTGTACACCTGAAGCCATCCTCCAACCTCAACTTCCTGAGAGCTGCTTGATCACTTGAGCTGAGGAGTTCAAGGCTGTAGTGAGCCGTGATGTCACCACTATACTCCAGCCTAGGCAATAGAATGAGACTGTCTCAAAAAAAAAAAAAAAGTTTCATGTTTTTGGTTTGCACAGATTGTATTTCCTGTCTTCCTGTAAATATAGCTGATATCTGGAGCTTTGGCTGTGCTTTGGGAGAATGGAACCTTCCTTTCATTTTTTTTCTCTCTGTTTTTATAGGAATGATGTATTTAAAATCCACTGGCTGATGGCGGCCCTTCCTTTCACCAAGTCTCTTTCCTTGGTGTTCCATGCAGTATGTATTAGCATTTTGGGGACCATTCATGAAATTACATGTAATGCCTATTTGAGCAGGCAAAAGAAATTTGAAGAAAGGGGATAGATTGCTGGGAAATAAAGACGACGAATACATTTCTCATAAAGCCTCCTCGTGTCTGGGAGGGCCTGGCCATGCGGGTAGATGATTACCACCTCCCCTCATACCAGACTTCAGGCATCTTCTGATACTGCTTATAGACCTACAATTTTTCTAGAACATTTATTGTTTTTATTTATTAATTTATTTTTTAGCATTTCTAGAGACGAGAGTGCCACCTGCTAAATTGTTTCCATGACTTTTTTATGTTTCTAAATATTCCCTCATGTTCCTATGTGATTTGAAGTTCAATTCAGTATTGGCAGATTTAGCTGAGAGAAAATTGGTGCAATAAAGCTGGAGGCGTGAGAATTGAGCTTCAGCTTTGAGCATTTAGAACTTAGGCAAATTAAAATGAACTTGCCCATGGGGGTAAGATCACGACTTGCCCCATCTGTGGGCCTCCAAGTACCTGTGGACTACACTTGCAGGGGTGACAGTCTCTAGACGTGTACTCTTCGCTGCACTCGAAAATATCCTCCTTGGAAAAGGCAATCATATATCCAATGACAGTGCCCCAGAATGACAGTTATTTGGATAATTTCCCTTCTGGGTCCAAGTTCTAAGATTCTTTTTGGAGCCATGTAGCTAATGAGTGATTCTGAACTGCAGTTGTTTGTTTTCAGATTGACTACCACTACATCTCCTCCCAGGGCTTCCCTATTGAAGGCTGGGCTGTTGTGTACTACATCACTCACCTGTAAGTATGCAGGCACACATGAAATACACCAGGAAATGACACACGAGAGAAGTGGGGGTGGACAACAACCTGCCCTCCTGTGGCAGCCTGTGTGGGACCCGGCCATACGGGAGGAGTGGAGCTCATGGGTGGCCGTCTAAACTTGAGAACTCGGGCTTAGTGGCATGCTCCTGCCTCTCTGTGGCCATTGGCTGTTCAGGCTGTGGGGTGCAGAGCTAACTTTGTGGCTCATGTATGATGGATTTCCTGAATTTGGCTGTCTGTCTTTTGTAAGAAGCTTGTGAACTCATAGAATGAGCTGTGCAATCTAACTGGCAGTGAGGGTCTAAAGAGACCGGCTGGTGTCTGTTCCTTGTTTTCTCTTCCAGTTTGAAAGGGGCACTACTCTTCATCACCATTGCTCTCATTGGCACTGGCTGGGCCTTCATCAAGCACATCCTTTCCGATAAAGACAAAAAGATCTTCATGATTGTCATCCCACTCCAGGTAAAGGAACCCTCGTCCTGTTTGTCTCTTCCTCTCTTGGCACTTAGCAGGGCTCCACGCTAAGCCTGTAAGGGAAGAGGGAGTCAGCTTACTCTGAAACCCCAGCTTCTGCTAGTGGAGGTTGAAGACTGGGATTATCTTCCTGAATTCTGAATAGACTTCAGGTCATTGCACTGGGAGATGCTTGGCCATCAGCCAGCCACTGGCCTTTGGGCACCTAGATTTTGCATGGAGAGCTGTTGACAATGTAGGAGACACACAGTACTGTTTTTTCTTGTTTTCCTCATGTTTGCTTCTGTGTTTCCTTCATAACAAAATGGTGCTGTTGGTGAGGAAGCTCAGAGATGTAGTGATTTTATGAACAAAGTATTTTAAAACTGTGAACGACATCAGTGAGTTTCCATAGATAGAATATGTAGTAGACCTGAGGGGCAAACGTTTCCTAAATCCTTACCATGTTTGGGGCTGAGGGCCAAGGCCAGCCTTATAAGGCTGTAGTTTCTTGGGGGCGGAGCCTTGTCTTAGTGGAGGCTGAACTTGGTTGTAAAGAACTTCCAATAAACGGAGAGGTTTTAGCAGGGATGCACAACTATTCTGCTCTGTTTGACTAGACAGCATTTGTTTGATGAAGTTGTCCCCGTCAGCTGTTCTCACATATTGGAATGTGACGTAAATGTGGAAGGTGGCGGGTGGAAGGGGACAACTCCCACATCAGCCCTCCTGACTCTGGCAGAGTTTGCAGCAAAGCTCCTCTCTGAGTTCTAACAGACCTTGTCCACCCTAATGTTCAATGATGAGGAACGTGTGTTGACATCAAATGAATGGGACAGGCCAGTTGCTCTGGGTTTCCGGGGAGAGACTAAGCACTCAAGGTGGAAGGATCAAGGAGGGCTTTGTGACAGAGATGGGGCTGGTCTGGGTGTTTAAGGAGAGGAAAGTGACAGAGGCAGGGGTGTGACCCTAGTGTTACAGCTGTTTTTTGAATTTGTTTAGCAGGCTTTCTGGGTTTTGCCAGAAAGCCCCTCTCAAAAAGAAAAAAAAAAAAAAAAAAAAAAAAAAGAGGAAAAGAAAATAATTAAACCACATACTAGAAAAACCACACACAGTGGAGTCATTTTCCTAGACACTCTCAAACATTGTGAGCTACAGTTTTTCTAAGATGAAAATAATAATCCATCTTTTGGTAGGGTTATTCCCTCCGAAAAAATCATGTGTTTTAATTGTCCACTGGGCAATAAAGCACATAGCAGGTGCTTAAGAAAGGGCAGATTCCTGCTAGCTGTGATGTCTCTTTCATACCTCAGTTGCCTTATTAGTGGGCAAATATGAAATGGAAGAAAGGCTCTCAGCTGTGATCTTTGATGGGTCAGAACAAGCTGCCATCAGCTGAATGGCAGGGGCAGACACAGAAAGTCAGCAACTTCAGAACCTCAAACTCAGTGCTCATTGCTGAACTAAGCCTTAGAGGCTGCAGGAACAGGAGAGAGCACCTGCGGAGGGCTGCGGGCGAGGCTTCCCAAAGTGCTGAAAGAAGACTCAAAGCAGCAACGTCATTTCCTCCCCAAGCTGCACTAGTAGACGCCAGCATGGGGTTTCTCAAGCATCCCAGAAAAATGAACACATATGACATCTTGCATGGAAAGAACATCTGATTGTCCTCCCTTGGTCAATTTTTTCAAGGCTGAATAGCCATAATGTGAGACAGTAGTTCTTTTATTTATTTATTTATTTTAGAAATGGGGTTTCACCATGTTGGCCAGGATGGTCTCGATCTCTTGATCTCATGATCCGCCAGCCTCAGCCTCCCAAAGTGCTGGGATTACAGGCGTGAGCCACCACATCCTGCTCGAGACAGTAGTTCTTAATATTGAAGCATTGTAAACACAGATGTGCAAGAGCTCGCGCATACACATACACACCAAAGAAACAAAAACTACACCAAGTCAAAACCACAACTAGACTTTGAATCAGATTAACCTGGATCCTGGCTTCTCCACCTCCAAGCTGTGGGACTTGAGGCTAGTACTTTGATGTCCTTAGCCTTGGTTTCCTTCTTTATAAAGGAGAATAATAATACCTACTTTGCAGGGTTATTAGGACTGAAGCTTGTGTAAGGCACATAGCTCAGAATGTGGTACATGGTAAACATTCATTATCTGATGTTTACCATTTTGAGCATTCTGCTGGGCACTGGAACATTAGGACAGCATATTTTGTGTAAAAGCCTTTCCTAAACATAAATTATCAGTTCAGATTTTATTATAGGCTGGGTGCAGTGGCTCACAATTGTAATCCCAGCACTGTAGGAAGCTGAGGCAGGTGGATGACCTGAGGTCAGGAGTTCAAGACAAGCCTGGTTAACAAGGTGAAACCCCATCTCTACTAAAAATACAAAAAAAATAACTGGGCACTGTTTACAATAGCAAAGACCTGGAACCAACCCAAATGTCCATCGATGATAGACTGGATAGGGAAAATGTGACACATATACACTATGGAATATTATGCAGCCATCAAAAACGATGAGTTTTGGTCCTTTGTAGGGACATGGATGAACCTGGAAACCATCATTCTCAGCAAACTGACAGAAGAGCAGAAGATCAAACACCGCATGTTCTCACTCATAGGCGGGTGTTGAACAATGANTTTAGTAGAGACAGGGTCTCACTATTTTGCCCAGGCTGGTGTTGAACTCCTGGGCTCAAGCGATCCTTCTGCCTTGGCCCCCCAAAGTGCTGGGATGACAGGTATGAGCCCCCGCACCCAGCCCTACTTTGTCTTTTTCGACAGAGCCGTAGATGCAAATGTTTTGGATAGACAGGGCTTCATGAGGACCTCGGGACAGGGAGGAACACAGAAGCTGGGTGGCAGTGGGAGACTGAAATTTCAGATAATTTTTGAATTAGTATTAAATGAAGCCTCAGTGATAATTTGATTTCTAAGTCCTGTATAGAAAGAGAAATTACACTTAGAGACTTCCCAAATAAGAGCACTACAGATTTTACATTCCATGTGAAATTGTGGAGGGTTACCTTTACAGCAAGTCAGGCAGAGTGTTGGGGACCATGGACTTCTCATGGGGTGTATAGGTGGAGTGATATTCTCTGCATCCCTCCCCAGTGGTAATCTTCAAAAGGATGTATTATAAGTGGTAAATTTCTTTTATGCTCTGCACCATCTAGCCAGCGGAAAGACTTTTTTTTTTTTTTTTTTTTTTTTTTTTAAAAATTATTTTTTTTTTTTTTTTTTTTTTTTTTTTTTTGAGACAGAGTCTGGCTCTGTCGCCAGGCTGGAGTGCAGTAGGTGCGATCTAGGCTCCCTGCACCCTTTGCCTCCCTGCCTCAAGCAATTCTCCTGCCTCAGCCTCCTGAGTTGCTGGGACTATAGACGCATAACACCATGCCCAGCTAATTTTTGTATTTTTAGTAGAGATGGAGTTTCACCACGTTGGCCAGGATGGTCTCCATCTCTTGACCTCATGATCCTTCACCTTGGCCTCCCAAAGTGCTGGGATTACAGGCGTGAGCCAGCATGCCCGGCCCAGAAAGACTTTTTATAAATACTTTTATTATGCTAAGAGCCTAATTATGGGCCAGAGTACATGAGGCAAAGCCCTTAGCTTTGGAAGGAGAAGCAGTGCGTGGACACTGGTGAATCTCAGAGGAAGAGCTGGGCTGTGTCCTGTGTTGGGGGAGCTGGACTTAAAGGATCCCGTGAGGAGCAGTGTGGCCACTCAGCTGTGGGGCTGGAGTCAGTCATTATCACTGCTCTGGTCTCTGAAAACACAGTTCCATTGTCTGGCGCTTAGAAGAGTTATTGTCACTGAGCACCAGAGCCTGAAAAGTATGGGCATTGTGGCTAAATAGGGTGTTAAGTGCCACCTATCCAGCACCTGAGCAACTCCACTAGGTTTGGGGTGTCTAAAAAGCAAAGTGTCCTTGTTATCTATTGCTGCATAACAAATCACCCCAAAACTCAGTGACTTAAAACAGCAATAACCCAATAACCCTTCATGCTCTCAGCTTCTGTGGGTTAGGAATTTAAGAGTGGCTAGCTAGGTAGGTCTGACTTGGGTCTTGTCATTGTCACACCCTGCTGGGAGCGTCTTGAAGTCTCCACTCGCATCTGTCTTCTGGGCTGAGAAGCTTGCTCAGGTGGGGATTGGGACATCTGGGGCTCCTGGGGGGTCTTTGGGGGTCTTTCCATCTCTGCATGGTCTCTACAGCATGGCAGTTTCAGGGTTGCCAGACTTCTTACAAGAAGGCTTAGGGTTCAAAGGTCCCAAGAGAGCTGGGTGGAAGCTTTATCTACCTTGGAAATCACACAGCATCCCTTCCATCTTGCTGTGTTAGAGCAATTACAGGCCTGTTCAGGTTCAGAGGGATGGCATAGAGACTCTCCTACTCGATAGCGGAATGGCAGAGTTCTGGAAGAGCATGTAGGACTGGAAAGAATGCTGTGGTCGCAGATTGGGGTCTAGAGGCCAAGGTGTATACCCCACCCTGGGGCTGCTAGCATTGTAACACTCCACCCAGGCTTTGGGGCCTCAGCAAATTCTCATGTCTGTAGGTCCTGGCAAACGTAGCCTACATCATCATAGAGTCCACCGAGGAGGGCACGACTGAATATGGCTTATGGAAGGACTCTCTGTTTCTGGTTGACCTGCTGTGTTGTGGTGCCATCCTCTTCCCAGTGGTGTGGTGAGTAGCCCACAGGAAGGGAGGCCACGTGACAGCTTGGCTGTGAAGCCTGCCAGCTGAACTGGCCATTCCCACATTGATCTCAATCACATGGGATGTGTGTTTAAAAGTACAGCTTTCCGGCCGGGTGCGGTGGCTCACGCCTGTAATCCCAGCACTTTGGGAGGCCTAGGTGGGTGGATCATGAGGTTAGGAGTTCAAGACCAGCTTGGCCAACGTAATGAAACCCCATCTCCACTAAAAATACAAAAAATCAGCTGGGCGTGGTGGCAGATGCCTGTAATCCCAGCTACTCGGGAGGCTGAGGCGGAGGTTGCAGTGAGCCAAGATTGCACTCCAGCCTGGGCAACAGTGCAAGACTTGGTCTCAAAAAAAAAAAAAAAAAAGTACAGCTTTCTGAGTCCCAGATTGACCTGAATCAGTCTCCAGGAGCAGAACCCTGTGTCTTTTTCAAGTTACCCAGGGGATTTTGGTAGAGTTAATCAGTCACCGTGAGCTGACATTTAACAGAGTTCTAAGACAATAGAGAATTGGGAAATGAGAACTTGGTAGCAATTGAAAGTAGCAGCCTGAATTTGGAGTTGGGGAAATTCCATAGGCAGCCAGTTCCTGCCAACTTAGGTGGAAAATGTGGAAGTTCATTAACATAAAACTAGTGATAGTTCTTAGCACACAAACGTTTTTGATATCTTCAGAATGGTTTGCTCCATTCCTGGAAATGGCAAAGTTTAGATGCATAGATTGTGCTTTGGTTCTGTGTAAAGAAGTGTTAGTGTCAAGTCAGTGGTTGATGAGAAAGAATATCCTTCTTAAATCACATGCAGAGTGGCAGAAATTGAGGTTAGCAGCAGTAGAACACTTAACATCACCCTTAGTGATCGAATTCCATAACTTTTGGAATGCAGTTCTTTGGAAATAAAGTTTAAAGAAAATAGATTTACCTGCGTTCTTCCACTTGAAGCGAGGTGCTTCTTTTTTTTTCCTCCCCCTCAAGACATAGTTTTGCTCTTGTTGCCCAGGCCGGAGTGCAGTGGCGTAATCTCGGCTCACTGTAACTTCTGCCTCCCAAGTTCAAGTGATTCTCCTGCCTCAGCCTCCTGAGTAGCTGGGATTATACAGGCACGTGCCATCACTCCTGGCTGATTTTTTTTTGTATTTTTAGTAGAGACAGGGTTTTGCCATGTTGGCCAAGCTGGTCTTGAACTGCTGACCTCAGGTGATCTGCCTGCCTTGGCCTCCCAAAGTGCTGGAATTACAGGCATGAGCCACTGCGCTCTGCCAAGGTGCTTCTTCTTGCAATGCCCCATCCAGTAAATTAATATTTTTGAGGATCCTGGGGTATGTCAGTTAGTGGTATCAGTGAACAGTACTTCTCATTCCAGCCAGTTAGAGTCACTCTTCACACTAATTCCATCATAACATCACACATGATCTAGTATCAGTTCAGCCAACAGCTACCAGCATAGAAGAGAGAGTATGAATGATGCTCCCTCCTCAGCCTCCTGGGTAGCTCACACTACCATACCCAGCTAATTTTTTGTAGACATAGAGTTTTGCCATTTTACCCAGGCTAGTCTCGAACTCCGGGGTTCAAATGATCTTCCCACCTCAGCCTCTCAAAGTGCTGGGATCCCCTGTACCTGCTGGAATATGAATGACTCTTCGTATTCACTGCAGTCTCCTGCTGCCCTGCACAGGAATTAGTTACTCGGGCATCTGTAACATAGGATGTCCAGCATTGTTTCCAGATAGAAAGAGCATCTTACTAGGGAACAGAGGTTCATGCCCTACTTTTACACATGCCACTATCAGAACAGTAAAATATAAGGAATCCCAACAGGCTGTCGAGCTGTAAGCAGCCATTTCCTGCCTCTTGTTAATTTCTTTTTTTTTTGAGACGGAGTTTCGCTCTTGTTACCCAGGCTGGAGTGCAATGGCGCGATCTCGGCTCACCGCAACCTCCGCCTCCTGGGTTCAGGCAATTCTCCTGCCTCAGCCTCCTGAGTAGCTGGGATTACAGGCATGCGCCACCATGCCCAGCTAATTTTTTGTAGTTTTAGTAGAGACGGGGTTTCACCATGTTGACCAGGATGGTCTCGATCTCTTGACCTCGTGATCCACCCGCCTCAGCCTCCCAAAGTGCTGGGATTACAAGCGTGAGCCACCGCGCCCGGCCTGTTAATTTCAACGCTAATGAGCAGAAGCCAAATGCAAAAAATTCCTGAAGATAAATATCCTGAAAATTACTGTGAAATGAAAAGTAAGTACTGGAGAGGCAATTCAAGATTAATAATGCCTTTAAGTATTCCTATTCAGCCAGCATTGGTTCAGGGCCAGCAGTGTACTGGGTAACTTGCATGTGGTGTTGCGTTCAGTTCTCAAGCAGATAGCCCCTCTCACGGGTGGGCAAATTACGGAGTATTTAGGAAAAGTAATCGATTTGCTGACTAGAGTGAGTGACGGCGTCAGACCCGTGCTCCCTTCCCTCACGCAGCCCTGTCTGCCTGTGCCCTGCTCATCCCTCAGGCCAGTCTCTCCATTGGTGGCTTTGCATGGTACCTCCACTTCTCACCTGCTGCTTCTGTAATAATGTTCCCCTGCGTGAACTGTAATGATGGTCATTAGTTACCAGCACATCACAGCCTAAAACTGCCCCTGCAGGCTGGCATTTTTCAGCAATATTAAAAATCTCCACTCAATGAAATGAGTTTGCATGGAGCTGCATATTCACAGCTCCTGGACTTAGACTCTAGAAGTCAGCTGGTGACTTTCCTCTGGGTTTATTCTCTCCTTGTGGCAGGTGGGCTCAGTGAGGCTCCATTGTGGGATGGTTGGGTAGGGGGTTGATTGTGGAAGTGGAGTTTGCTTTTCTCCTCACGCTCTGGTTTCTGCTAGACTTACTGCCACAGATTTGGCCAGCAGAGGGCGACTTTACCTCTCAGACGTGTTGATTATCCACCATCCTCCGTTTTAGGGAGAGTGCTCTAAAGTGATCTAGTCCAACCTTTCAGCATATAATGGAGGAATTCACGGCCCCAAGTTACTACAGCTGGAAAGAGAGAGGAGTACAGATTTGTCAGCTAACTTTTTGCTCTCTAAATGTTTATTTTTAGGTCAATCAGACATTTACAAGAAGCATCAGCAACAGATGGAAAGGGTAAGTTCCCTCGTGCTCATTTTGTGTTGTTCGGCTTGCTCTGAACCCCCATGCTGGGGAACTGTGGAGGAGTAGGGGCAGCCTGTGGTCTCAAGAGGCTGTCTTCCTGGGAGGTGAGCTAGGGGAGGCCTGCGGCCCACTTCCTGAGAGCAGCCAGGGATGGTTTGGAGAAGGAGGTGCAGCACCAGTTGTATGAGGAGGAGGCTGGGGGGTGACTGCTGCTTATTAAGATGATTCATTTCATTTCCACTCGTGATTGTGATTGTCACCTTCTCAGAACTGAGTCAGAAAGAGAAAATCTTGCCTTGGAAGGGCCAGGTAGCACTTCACTGTGAGAACAGGAGGGATAATGGATAGGAGATGGCCACGTATAAGGAGCTCTGGCTGCTGATTTCACACACTTTCAAAATAGATGTGTTGGTGTTAAAGTGAGACTCTGATGACAGAAGGAACCTTGAAAACTACCTGATATGAGATGGTTGTGCCCTTTATAGCCCCTTTGCATCTCTTTGATTTTCTAGTCATGCCTCCTAAGTCAGAAGAGAAGCTGAAAAGAAAATGTTATGTGTGGTTCTGGGCTTATTTGAATAATGTTCATGACCACAGGCTGCCATGGCACCAGTGAGAATTTCAGACCCCAAGGGTGTAAGGGGCAGTGCTCTCTCTCCGAAAGCCCAGAACTGCCTCCATCCATGGTATTATACGCCCAGTGTGGATATTAACATTCTTTAAGGCAGGTTATGAATAATAAACAGGTTTTCATTTTAATAAAGTTTTGTTGCTGACCTTATTTCTGATTATAAAGCCATTGTGGATTCAATTTCAAAAATCTGGAAAATGTGTAGTGGCTTTAAATCTTATTTCATAAACCTGGTATGCAACTAATAACACATTATTTCCTTAAGTTGAATTAAACATGACTTTGAGCTTCACGCCAGGGTCAGCCCTAGGTTGTTATTTAGGGCACAGTATTCCGGAGGATCTCGCCAGTTTGGGCCTGGAACAGATAGTATGGCATCCCGCTGTCCAGGCACACGTCACTCTTGCTTCTGGGCAGCCTGTGTGCGAGTCTCACCCAGGCCCGGAGCTTTGGTCAGTGCTCGGAGAGCGGTCTCCCAAGGCCCACTCGGCTTCCGTGACCTGCGCCAGCTTTTGTTTTATTTCTAGTTCTGGGAATAGCCCTTCTCTCGTTTTCCCATTTTATTTCTCAAAGGCACTAGGTTCCCTTCTTTTCCCTCTGGCGTGTCTTGTGATAGGTTCTCTTCAGTGGATTTTAGCAGGAGTCACAGAACTTTGCTTCTAGCCTGGCTGTATAGCCTTTCTTGGAGCCCGGTAAAGCATCCTGCCATCAGTAGAAAAACTCAAGTCAGCAAGTACAAATCCGCCTCCGGGGATAATTGTTTGGGCGTGTTCTTCCCCCCCCCGCCCCCCCACTATTTCCAGTAATGGCTATAAGCAAATGTTCTTTTTTTTGAGGCAGAGTTTCTCTCTGTCACCCATGCTGCTGGAGTGCAGTGGCGCAATCTCTGCTCACTGTAGCCTCTGCCTTCTGGGTTCAAGCATTTCTCCTTCCTCAGTCTCCTGAGTCGCTGGGATTACAGGCGCCTGCTACCACGCTTGGCTGTTTTGTGTTTTTAGTAGAGATGGGGTTTCACCACATTGGCCAGGCTGGTCTCAAACTCCTGACCTCAAGTGGTCCGCCTGCCTTGGCCTCCCAAAGTGCCGGGAGTACAGGTGTGAGCTGCTGTGCCCACCCTGTCTGGGGATATTCTTATCCTTATTTTTCTTCTATTCCTGTTATATAAGAAGGTAACTCTATTATATTTGTAACTTGGTGAACAGGTAGGATTTTTCTTATTTTATTAAGTCATGATGAGACTGTTTTAACTTTTTCGTCTTACACGCTTCTATATTTCTCATTGGTTCTTCCAGCTGTTTGGCTAAAAGTGTATAAAAAAATCCCAAGGGCAGTGTTTTCCGTTGGCGAAGCTTACCTGTGTGTTTCTCCTTGCTCCATCCTGCCCCTTGGTGAATTCCTGCCTTCTTCACCTCCTCCCCGACCCCTGCTTCCGCCTCCTGACTCACCTGCCTCTTCACTCTTCCATCTCGTGAGCTTGGGGTGACTGTGGTGTCTGCCACTAGGACCATTTATTCCACCTGAGGTTGGTTGGTAGCTGAGGATCTTAGTAAGGTGCCCTGTCTGGAGTAGATGGCACAGCAGGTGAGGCAGCACGGGGTCAGCGTTGTCCCCCAGCATCTGTAGTAAAGGGTAACTTTCTTCAACAGGAATGCGTTTGTCATGGCCTGGGCACACAAGGCAGTTTTTCATTTTTTTCCAGCAGGTGGCAGTATGGGACCTCTTCAGCAGAGAGCGAATCTAAGAGCAGGAAGTCACATAGGTAAACCAGGGTTCACATTCCCCTTTCTTAGGAAGACATCTGCTAGGCAAGCACCCATTTCCATCAGCAGATATCACAGGCCCTCTGAAAGAAGAATAGAGCAGATTAGAACGGGGATATCGTTTTGATTCATGTGCTTTTCCCTGGATTGAGGCTGAGATGCTTTTGGCGTCACTCTGTACCCTGAAAAATGGTTATGCTTACAACATTCCCAGACCCAGAGCAGCCGTGTTCCCAGCTGAAGCTTCGCCTGCAGAGAGGTCGCAGGAATGGCCCTCTGTGCTGGAGCCACCCTTGGGTGTGACTGCGGGGCGGCCGTGTGCTGTGAAGCTTGCAGGACAGTGGTAGTGAGCACGCTGCAGCTAGTCACTGGTTCTGGGACCCACGGCCCCATCCACCCTCTGTGCTCCCCTCGATTCACTCCTCCTGAGATGTGGAGGCAACTGGGAGCACACAGGCCATGAGCAATCATGTCTCCTATTAGATTTGGAAGCTTTGCTGGATGGAGCCTGACATTCTGTTTCCTGTTCTCAGGCTCATCATTCCAGTGACTCATTGCATGACCTTGACAGTAACTTGGGCTTGGCTTTTTTTTAATTTAAAATTTTTGTAGTGATGGGGTCTCACTATGTTGCCCAGGCTTGTCTTAAACTCCTAACCTCAAGCCATCCTCCTGCCTCACAAGGCCTCCCAAATTACTGGGATTACAAGCGTGAGTCACTGCATCTGGCATTTTGGGCTTAAGAATCTCATTTTTACACCAACCATGGTGGCTCATTCCTGTAACCCTAGCACTTTGGGAGGCTGAGGCAGGAGGATTGCTTGAGACCAGGAGTTTGAGACCAGCTTGGGCAACATAGAGATATTCCATCTCTACCAAAAATCAAAGAACTATGGCAGACCAGCCTACAAAAAAAAAATTAGCCGGGCTTGATGGTACACACCTGGAGTCCCAGCTATTTGGGAGGGTGAGGTGAGATCACTTGGGCCCAGGAGGTCAAGGCTACAGTGAGCTGAGATCGCACCACTGTGCTCCAGCTTGGGCAGCAGAGCCAGACCCTGTCTGAAAACGACGACGACAACAAAAAACCACGATGGCAAAGAATCTCATTTTAAGTTTAGACGCAGTCCCGACCCAGTAATTGCAAGTGAGAGAAATGCTCTTTGTAGTTTTCCTTCCCGCATTTGGGGTGAATGTATCTTTCAGAGTGTGTCTGGCTTTTGTTAATTTATTTGTGTCTGGATTCCTTTTGACCAAACCTGATGGAAATCTAAAGGGAAACATTGAGGCCGAATCTGCCCACTGTCCTTAAGCCGCGTCTTTTGTCTCTCCTGTCACACAACACTGTGGCTTCTCTCAGGTCCTTGGTCACTGAGACTCAGCTGCACCACATCCTCTGAGAGGGAGCTTAATTGAGTCTCGCGCAGACACACCTAGCGCTGGCTCCATTCCGTCTCCCCTGCCGAGATTTACTGGCTCTGACTGCCCTTGAGCTCGCATCCCCGTTCCCTTCTCTTTCTCTAGTGTCATTACCTAATAGGACTGGCTTGGAGAGACACACCATAAATTTAATTAACAGTCTCTGCTGCTGACCATCCTTTTTTTGGCCTTGTGTTTCTGAGGAAAGATGTGTTCTGAAGAGCCTGAGCTTTTATGTGAGCTTCAGAAGTATTTAAACAATCCCAGTTGGCTGCTGCCGAGGTGATGGGAGGAACGGCTTCATTCCAAGGTGCCGCCATGCTCTGAAAGTAGCCGCGGCCGTGCAAGGCATTTTTTAGGGTAGTGGTTCTCAAGGGGGTCCTCAGGGTCAAAACTATTTTCATAATCATATTTTCATAATCATATGGTATTAGTCTCTTGCACTGTTGACATTTGCCTGATGGCGAAAAGTAGTGGTGGGTAAAATTGCCAGCACCCTCACGTGATTCAAGGCTGTGGCACCAGACTCTCCCAGCAGCCACCACGTTCTTTACTGTCACCTCCTCACAGGGGGTAAAAAAGGCTCACATCACTTAAGAATGGCCTTGAAATAATAAAACTGTTCATGCGATGACATCTCAACCCGTGCCTTTTAATGTTCTGTGAGACAACACGGGTGGTGTGCGTAAGCACGCTGTGGGCCTGGAGTGTGATGGCTGCGGCCTTGAGGGACGTACCTGTGCAGTTGCTTGAATTGCAAGCTGAACTAGCTGCTTTTATTTTTTTATTATTTATTTTTTTGAGACAAGGTCTTGTGCTGTGGCCCAGGCTGGAGTCCAGTGGTGTAGTCCTGGCGTACTGCAGCCTCAGCCTTCTGGGCTCAAGCGATCCTCTCACCTCAGCCCTCAGAATAGCTGGAACTACGGGCGTGAGCTACCATGCCCGGCTAATTTTTGTATTTTCTGTAGAGGTAGGATTTTGCCATATTGCCCAGGCTTGTCTTGAACTCCTGAGCTCAAGTGATCCACTTGCCTAGGCCTCCCAGAGTACTGGGATTGCAGGCGTGAGCCGCTGTGCCTGGCCACGCTGCTTTCATCTGAAAGAATGACTGACTGCCGGGCGCGGTGGCTCACGCCTGTAATCCCAGCGCTTTGGGAGGCCGAGGCGGGTGGATCACGAGG